CATTCCAAGAGCTGGCAGTCATTACTAAGATCCCCAGGGTTCGAACTGGGTCCCAGCCAGGTTGACTCAGTGTTTCCTCTCCCAGGAGTATTTTGAGATACGTTGGGGCTGGCCCAGCTGTGCCCTAGATTGTCATTCTCTGATACGGATGAGTGGTTAGGCCCAAGAAAGACCAAGCCAAACACACTGAGTTAGATGGTTTCATATGGCTTCCTGAAGTCAAGGCTCCACTGAAGACAGCACATTACTAAATCTCAGAAGCAAAAGCCAGTTGAAGGGCAGAGCACAGGAGATGCTGCCTTCTTAGCTGTGAGGTGCTCTGTTAGTGCACCTTCCCCAGCTCAGACCTTTGAAGAGGGTCAGACTCCCAAATGGATGGTAGAATTCTATCTCATGGGCCTGAGCAGTTAGTCTAAAAATGTAGGATCTCTTAATGGTAAGGAATATAGAGTCCACCTTGACCACCCACAAGTGATGGGAATCTGTTGTAAAAATACACAACGCTCTGTAAGAGACAAGATGCTGGAGAAATCCAGGAAGAGCTAGGCCTCAGAGAGATCTGCTCTGGAAGGGCATTTGGGATCCATGGCAGTTCTCGGCCTGGGCCATGATCTGTCTCCTCAACAGAGTGAGTTTGTGGGTCTGACTCTAGCGTTCCTCAGTTCATGAGACTCAGGAGCCCTTCTCTGCTGCATTTACAATTGATACTTTCAACCCACCACCCCATCTACTCCTCATAGTTTTTCTCTGCCTCGGCTTCTGTCTCCCGAATAGGCTCGCTCCTGAAGCCTCATATTCCCTTCAACCTCATGTCCTCTCTGCCAGGTTCAGCTCCAATGATAAAATCATTGATTTATGTTTGTACCTTCCAGTTCAAGTTCCACATATATCCAGAAACAGAGGTGATTAATCTGGTTGGCTTGGCTGAGGGAACACATTTTTTTATTTGAACCCTTGAAGGGATGGCCAGCTCCCAGAACAGCAGGGGCATGGATGGGTACTTTCCAGGAGAGGGCGCCAGGCACCATATCTTCAAGAAGCAAGACTGTTTCCCCTCTGCTGGTATAAATTCTCCAGAGTGATGCCAAGGTGAAACAGAATAGGTGAATGTTTTCTTGTAGCATTGTTTTATTTCTATTTTCTCTTACATTCAGCTGCTTTTCTCCAGCCTACATTTTTAAGCCTTTTCCCAGCTTTCATCACAACCCAAACAGGGGAGACGTCTTCCCTCTTCTAATTGCATTATGTACTTTCTAAAACCATTTATTCATTTACTCATTTATTTACTTAATATATATGGAGTACCTGTTTTGTAACAGAGAAAATATTAGACAATGGGGACATAAAAATTCATCCATTTACTCGATAAATATTAATTAAATATTTACAAAGTACCAAGGGTTATGCTACTTACTGGGAATATAAAGATAACTAAGGCAGTCCCTGTCTGATACCAAGTAAGAATTCAGTAAATGTTTGTTGAATAAATAAATGCCTTAAAAGACCTCACAGCCTAGTGGGAGAGAGAGGCTAAGATTTAGGCAATTACAAACAGTTAAAAGGGCTATCTCAGGGAAAGTTCCTTGGAAAAGAGGCCTGAAGACACCGAAAAGGTCTGCCTGTGGGAAGTACCAGTAAATCCTACACTGAGACCCGAATTATGCTTTGAGTTAGCCAAGTGAGAGGAGTGAAAAGGAGGTAGGGGCAGCACAAATGGCAGGTACACAGGCTTGGAAGCGAGGGCAGGGCTGCAAGTGGAGACAAAGAGCAAATGAAGCAGCACAATTCGGACTTTAGGAACTGGATGGAAGTCTGTACATGGAATAGTAGAGGGTTCTTGATTTAAACACAAGGTCACACTGAATGTCTGGAGTTCCCTTAGGATCTTGTTGTTGCTGCCTGCATCCAGTGGCAAAGGGACAGGGAGATGGCCTGGCAGTGGTGTATACCACTCCCACTCACATCCCACTGCCAAGAGCTAAGTCACTGGGGTTCTCTTAACTGCACTACAGGATGGAAGAGGTAGTCTAACTATGTTCCCAGGAAGAAGAGATTTCGATGGCAGCTAGAACCTCAGAGAAAAGTTTCTAGGGAGTGACCAGATGGAGAGTCGTGCAGGCATACCTGATTCCAGTTCATCCAAAGTGCCTGATGATAACTTCCAGGGAGGTCACTGGGCAGACAGACAACTCAGAACCTCAAGAAACCTCTGGAGTCCAGGGTAGCCCTGGTTAGTCCAAGGCATTTCAGGAAGTCTTGTGGGATGCAAGATCTCATCTTCCAAAATGAGATTTGAAAAGTGCGTGTTCAGTCTATAGAAAAAGGGGAGTTTCAAGTAGGAGATTGTCAAGAATTGTGGAGGGCTTCAGATTTTACTTGCAAGCTAACAAGTTAGATCATCACAGATTTGGAGGTGCCTACAGAGACATGAGATGTCTGGGTCAGAAATAAAGGACTTTATAATTCACAGCAATAACAGTGGCCAAAGGGCCAGCATTTTCTTCCACCAGTTTCCCAAGGCCAATTGTCACAGAGTGACACTAATGGAAAGATGACACTTGCACATGTGGTGGGCTGTTACAAGAGAGAAACTCTGAGCTTATGGAAGCTAAATCTTTTATAATGGGTAGTAAACATGTCTGCTCCTGGTTCTAGAGGGTGACATGTTATCTTCCCAAGCTGTAAGCAAATCTACTTGATCTGGAGAGAGACACAATCTCTATCTTCAAAGGCTGTGCACTTTACAAACACCCTTGAAAAGATAATCCGGAAAAAAGGTAGTCAATGCCTTTGCTTGCAAGATGTGCAGAAATGTGAGAGATACTTTGAGAATTGTCTTCCAAAAAAGATAGTTTCCTTTTTTATCAAGAAGGAGTATTCTTTAGATAGCAATTTTCTTTACCTGATCCTTTTCTTCCTGACTTCTAGGTATTGGCAGGCCCCGAGACTCAATCCTCAGAGCTTTTCCCTTCCTTGAGGATTTCATTCAGCCTCATCTTTAAATGTCATCAGCATCAAATCCATGCTGACGATCTTACATTTTTTTTTAGGCAAGGCAACCTTTGGTAGACCTTATAGATTGCAAGGACCTTACAATCTCTTATTTTATTTTTTGTTTTTTACGCCTACAGTGCGTGGTCTTCCTAGGTGGTCTCCCATCCAAGTACTAACCAGGCCTGACCCTGCTTAGCTTCCGAGATCAGACAGGATCGGGCTTGTTCAGGGTAGCATGGCTGTAGACTGATGTTACATTTATAGCTGACACTAACATCGCCCCATTTGTAGACTCAGAAATCAAACTGCCTATGTGGCATCTTCACGTGGTTATCTTCTAGACATTTCAAAATTAACATGTTTTTGAATCCCATCCTTATACAAAACCTGATCCTTCTCCAAGATAGCCTCTCTCAGGAAAGAGTATCATACACTCAGTTGCTCAGGCCAAAAAATCTCTCTCTTCCATATCCACATTCAATCCATAAACACATTCCGTTTTCAAATTATATCCTGTCTGACCACCTCCATCCTCCAGCATCACCAACATCCTAGTCCCAACTACTTTGCCTCTGTCCTAGACAACAGCTGTAAATTCCTAATTGATCTCTAATCTTACGATATACATTCTAACCTCCATGGAAGCCAGAGTGAGTCTTTTAAAATGTAAATTAAGTAATATCATTCCCTTGCTTTTGACTTGCTAATGACATTCCAATACATTTAAAATAAAATTCAAGGTCAAGAATACATATGATCTGACCTCTGCCTCTTAATTTGACCTCATTTGCTACCACCCTCCCTGTCCCATCTTGCCTTCCGCTGTCCTTGAAAGTACTTAGGATGAGGTTGTCTCAGGGCCTTTGCACTTTGTTGCCCGAGTCATTTAGGGTTCTGTCAGATGTCAGTTGAGCAGAGAAATCCTCCCTGACTATCCTAAATAAAATAACGCACCTTCCTACTCCTCTTTCTTTTTACCCAGCTTTATAATTTTTCATAGCCCTTATTACTGCCTGATTTTAAGACTCTGTCTCCCTATTGCTGCGCCCTAACCTAAAATATATGCTTCACCTGTCAAGAACTTGGCTTTGTTCACTGACATATTCTCTGCTTCTAGAATAATACTTGACACAAAGTAGATGCTAAATAAATATTTGTTGAATGAATGGATGAATCAATGAATGAAAGCTAATAGTGGGTATGAAAATGGATGCAATATCAGGGACACAGATAATTTGTGCCTCAATTTTTCTTCTTCATGCTAAATCAACTGATTTTATATAACTGTATTTTTTTCCCAAATGGCATACTTCTAATTCTTTAATAATTCTGGTTTCTCTCTACAGGAATCTTGCTGTGTTCTTCCAGGTTCTTGTGTATGGCGGAGTTCAAAATTGAACATAGCCTTCCAAGAAGAGCCTGACCAGTCTATAATAATTTTCCTCTCTTTACAGGTTCCATATGCTTGCTTAGAAATACACTTTAAAAAGATAATCTCCCAGGACATAGGCCCAGCTACAAAGAAATCCATCTAAGGTCAAATAGTTTGGAGAGTAACAAAGTGAATATTTGATTCTTACCTCTTTGTAGTCTCTACAAATCCCAAAACATCCTCTTGAATACATTAGGAAAATATATATAATCAACCTCATGAATTTAGCCACAGATTGTATAGATTTTAAATCTGTCACTCTTTTGTTCAACAAATGCCTCCTGCGTGCCAAGTGGGAAGCTAGAAGCTGGGACAGTACACGAAAAACAGCACTTGGTCCCTATTCAGAATCTTGGGCACCATTGTTTCTGTTTCAATTGTTGTTTCAAGACTAATTCTGGTCTAATTTGATTTTAATATATTATATTTATTTCCAATATTGCTTTTTAAATAAGAATACTATGCTTATAGAAAAATATCTTTCATCCCATTTGAAAAACAAAGGAGCACGGTGTTTTGCTTTTTCTAGCCTGTCTTCTAAATTGACTGTAAAATAATGATTTTTATTTTTCAGAATCCATTTCAATTCTCTGCAAAGGATTTAACAATGAAATACAAAAATCTCAGGTATTTTCCTTTAGCTCGTTTTTTAAAACCCTCCTTACATATGACTTACATAGTTGTGTTTTATTTATCAACTGTTTTTATTAAATTAAAATTACTTTAAAAACAACTTTAAATCATATTTCAATTGCTCTTTTGGTATTCCATTGATCAATATTTCACTAAAGATATTAACTTTCTCTAGGCTGCAGAGAGTCTAATAGAATTTACACGAAATTTTCTACTGAATGAATTTCCCCTACCTTCTTGGTGATTGTACACCTGCATTCCTTATAAGGAGAACAAGGAAGTAAATCATGTTGAAGTTGCTTTTAAACACAGCTTTTCTTCTTTACCTGTCCAGGTAGCCTGTTTTCATTTCAGTCTTAATGAAAACTTATTTATTTACATCTCAAGTTTCTTTTCAAAGCAGTGTAAGTAGTATTTAAAATTTTACACTTTGAGAAAGCAAGATTTTTAACAATGTTCAGCTTCGGTGTTGTAATGTTGAAGGTAATTCATTTTTCAATCTGTCTGCACAGCGAGAACTGAAACGAATGGGGATTGAACTGCTTTGCCTGTTCTTTCTATTTCTAGGAAGGAACGATCACGTACAAGGTAAGACCTAAGCTCTCCGATATATTGCTTTTGTGGTCTGCTTGACAAACCTGTCATTTGGTTCAGAAATTAGATTTGAAGTCATTTTTTTTTTGATCTGTTCTACTGCCTTTTTTTTTTTTTTTTGCTATTGAACGGACATTAACAAATCACAGGCAGATGCAGGGCTGTTCCCAAAAGGAATGCTCTAGGTTTAAGGTAAATAAATACAAAGGTTGCATGGGCATTTTAATGAGGAGAATTAAACAGCATTAATGTTCAATAGGACTTCTTAATACCTTCGTGACAACCATTTTGGTAACTTTTCTAACTATTTTATTATACAACAAGGACTTCCACTTAAGAGTAATAAACTTGAGAGAGAAAGAGGTTTATTTTAAAAATAAAAAAAACAGTACATTTAAAAGAGAAACATTTTAAATGGGTCAAATAATTTTTTAAAAATTTAGGTGCATGATAATGAATGAGGATAATAAATATGAGGATTCTATATTTGTGAGCATTGAGATTTTTTATATTTTAAGAAAAAAGAGAATAATTATTTTTGGCTAATTAGGCATACATATTTTCAGTGTGATAGGTGTAAAATATAAACCTTTCTATGAATTGCTAACATTTAGAGGACTGATCTTTGAAGACTAAAATAAACTTTGATATTGCTCCATTCAAGTACTTAAGAGCCATAAGTCTTGAAAATGGACTGAGAGTGCACTGAATCCTTGTGTCTTGCCTGGGTTTAAACATAGGTGGCTGTGCCATGGGAGGTGCAGAAACCTGTGAAGACTGCTTACTCATTGGACCTCAGTGTGCCTGGTGTTCTCAGGAGGTAAAACAAATGACCTCAACATGTTTGTAAAAACTGCAGTTACGCTTAAGTTAATTCTTTCAGTGATTGTTTTTATCGTGCTCTGCTTTCTGTGGGGCTATAAGAGTGAGACAAATCTAGAAAGAAAAATGTACACATCAGTAGATCAAAGTAATCATTTCAAAAGTAATTTGTGGAGGGAGTGAATGTCTAATTATTCTGAAAAATATTTAACTCGGGTTCCTTTATTTAATGAGATTCCACCTCTTATTCTGAAGCCATTTCTAACTGCTGACAAGTCCAATGCCAAGGCTTGGGTCATCAGAGGTCATGGAGATGATATTTTCTAAAACTAAACATATACTTGACTTCAAAACCGTCGTATCACATCTGGGAACCAAGATCCATTCTGTAAGAGAAGTGTTTTGGGGTAAACTTTACTGTTCAAACATTATCCAATTCTTTTAAAAATTACATTTTCATGAGCTTGGTGACGCTGTACCTCAACAATGACAAACCCGGAAATAGACATTCCTTATCTGATCAAACTGAAAACTGTGAGAAAGTAGGATAAGGGGGATTGGGAAATGTATAACAAGCCATCCTGAGTCACTGCCTCCAGTGACAATATAGAGCAATCTGTAAATGATTCTTGGTGAGAAAGAGCTGCCTTAGCTCTTTCTGGATTTAAAACAGGTCTCTACTGAATCTCATTAAGATATTAAAATACCAACTGCAGCAGGGACTGGTAGAATGCTCAAGGGAAATAAACCGGGACACCCGACTCTGGACCGGGCAAGAACTGCTAAAATCCACCTCCCAAGGTGAATGTGTATCTCTGGAGGAGGGCCTCACCCACCACAGAGCACAAACCCAGCTCACTCCCATCACTGCCTTGACAGATGAGGCACAAAAGTGCAAGGCAATTATGTTTTTTTGAGCTCGTGTGTCAAAAGTAGGTTTGAGAATATAGAAAGAAGGAAAAAAATCTACATTTTTTTTCACACTGACTCCCTGAAAAAGACAGTATTAGTTTCATGCGAAACATAAAGCAACAAATCAACCTAACAAAATGCTCACCTCTGAAATTTTTATTTAAATGCATTTTTGTCACTCGTTTAAGAGAACTTCATAAGTTACTACTGACAGCTTTACTGGTAGATGATACTTGGTAGCCGGTTATTGTCAAATTTCAAGGTCATATTATTCTAAAAAGTCACTCTAATAATGTTAGTTATATCGGTTGAGGCACTTGAAGCAAAAAGTAAATTAGGCTTCTGCTTAGAGCAGATAGAAAACAGGTTCCATGGTTAACATCAGCTTGACTTTTTGGCAAAGATGGCGATTATAGCTATACCAATGATACTGTATTGAGAAGGATTGTGAGGCCTCATTCAGCCACTGTTTGCCTTGGAGGCATCTTGGGAAATTACAGAGTTTGCTACACCTGGCCTGGGGCCTCAACTACGCACAGTTCTGACTGATACATAATAAATTATATTCTCAAAAATCAATTTCAGAAGAAATGTAACTTCCCTGGTTGATGAAAACAGTATGAGTGGCTTAGAATTCTAAAGAATGAAGAAAATAATATGAGCATTGGTTTGCCTCTCTCCAAGCATGAGAGTCAATGGGCCGCAAGTTTAACTTTGCTCAAAGCCTAAGCTTTAGAGCAGGCTTGGCTATCAGGTAAGACAGGGATTTATCTCCCCAATCCACTTTTCTTTTCCGGGCATTGCAGGGTTGGAATGGCCACATCTCTGCCTGGGAACACTCATCTCACTGCCTCCTGCTACACAGGTGGATCAGAAGGAGACTGGGGATCTCCCAAGTCTTACACAGAAAAGCAGTCTTCTACACCATGTTCTCTTTCATTTTTTTACCTCCAAATCTTAGAGAAAGTTTTAAAGAATTGAATGCTTCAAGACATCGAGTTTAAAGTCTCCAAGAGGTTAACTTTAGTGAAGTAACGCTGATAATGTAAAGATGATGCATTCATGAATTAAACCAGGACAGAGAGCTAACTAAGGAGATGTCACAATCCTTGCCCTTTGGGAATTCACAGAAAAGGTTCTTTGTCATTGTATTTGGTAATATACTCAATGAGCTTGGATAATCCTAGGAGTTCCCAAACCTGCAGGTCATCTGTAATAAATTCCCAGGGTGATATCAACTCTATGACTCATCTGTTTCACGGATTTAGTAGTGGCACAGGAGAGGCCTTAAAGAAATAAGCAGTAAAAATCCTCCCCCAAAACCTGCTAGGTAGATTCAATTGAATATAATGAAAAGAAGAATTCAATTTTACTCAGAATTTTAATGGAGAATTATCTCGTTATTCTGCTATAACTTAACTTCAGACATACAATCAATGTCAGGACATGGGATGTGATATACTGAGTATGACAAGATGCCTAACTAGCAAAGCAAGCAAAATAAAATTTTATCTCCAAAAGAAATGCAAATTTGTCTTCTTTTGTTCTTTATTGCTTTTCTTTTTTAGAATTTTACCCATCCATCTGGAGTTGGTGAAAGATGTGATACCTGGGCAAATCTTTTAGCTAAAGGATGTCAACTAACCTTCATCGAAAACCCTGTCTCCCAAGTAGAAATACTTACAAATAAGCCTCTCAGTGTAGGCAGACAGAAAAATAGTTCCGACATTGTTCAGATTGCACCTCAAAGCTTGATTCTTAAATTGAGACCAGGTATGTTATGATTTACATGAGCCTGGGCTCATGTAAACAAATCTAATGTCACATGGTAATACTGCTGTTCTGCTGGTACATCTTGTACCATATTATATATCATTGATTGTGAATACTCAGATTCCCATTCTTAAGGAAATAGACAATTGCAAAGCTAATACTTTTCTTTATTCATATTGGTCACTTGCACTCCACATGTGTTACTAAAAAGTCCTTATTTAATAGTGACCATTTGAATTGCTCAAATGTCAAGGTTTACCTCACATTTCTTGTAGGTTGTAACATAGCTTTAAACTCCTTTTTATTTTGCTCTCCTTTTCTAAAACCATGTACAAAAAAAATCAGCTTATCTTCTATCTAAATGGATGCTAGTTCTCCCAAGGAGATATAAAATATCCTAACTCTTACCTCCTCCAGTAGCTCTAACCACACTGCTAAAAGATTTTCATGGGCTCATTCATTTATAAACTTTTACCACATAGTTTATGAAATCCTAAGTATCTTCAGTAACTTCTTATTGGAATGAAATAGCCAGCTGGCCCAGTGATTGATTAGTCACAAATAAGTCCTCATACGTTTTTATGGATTTGCTTTTTTTTGTCGGGACTGCAGGCAGTGAACAGACTCTTCAAGTGCAAGTCCGCCAGACCGAGGATTACCCAGTGGACTTGTATTACCTCATGGACCTCTCAGCCTCCATGGATGACGACCTCAACACAATCAAAGAGCTGGGCTCCCTGCTTTCCAAGGAAATGTCTAAATTAACAAGCAACTTTAGACTGGGCTTTGGCTCTTTTGTGGAAAAGCCCGTCTCCCCTTTTATGAAAACAACGCCAGAAGAAATCGCCAACCCTTGTAGGTAAGTAAATGATTCTCTGGGGTCTTTGAACACTGATTTTCTGTAGAGATAGACTCACTTTGAGCTGCACTTTGCAGGAGCTTGCTTACTCCCTGGCATTTACGTCCTGAACGGCTGGATCTCAGCAGCTCTCTTAGTTTCCTGGGTTTTTTGGAACCAAAGGAAAGTCACTTTAATACATGGTTCTAGCCTTGGGTCCTCGCAGCATCCATCTCCCTGTGTAGGTCGGGATGTGGTAAATTTGGCTTTATGCTCTGCAGACAAGGGGACCGAGTCTGTCACTATAGGTTCCCCTGAACTATGCCCATTCCCAGAACTGTTGAGACCTTCTGTCCTCAATGACCACCACTTTCTGCGGCCATTTGACAATAGCACACATTCTCTCAGAGAATCTTTCTCCACTACAATGACTTCTGCTAAAATCATATTTTTTGAAACTTCTGATTTGCTTTGGGAAATGTGGTGTTCTCTTATTCTTTGAAAAAGGCCTTTGTAGCCTTCACTGCTACTGACTCAATAGGAAACTAATCAACGACTCCATTATAATATATTAAAACCATGTATTATTCAGGCGATGGTCAAGGGCAAGTTGCTCTGTTATGGCTTACCTATACAGCCAATGACATGTTCAAAATAAAATTTAATATCCTTCTATTGAAAAAGAGCTACCATTTGGTCTGTGCCAGACCCTAAGCTGAAGGTTTTACGTACATAACTACATTCAGTCTTCATAATAACAGCAGATCTAAGCAGATTTTGTCATCCTTATTTATACTCAGAAGAACTAACAGTGGCTTTGAGAGGCTAGTAATTTGCCCAAGTCCACATGGCTAATCAGTGATCTGTACCAAGATCTGGGCTGGTCCAAAACCAAGACCTTTACTACTATGAATCTAGTGTATATGAAATGACTTTCCAAGCTTCCATTGTCTTTCGATATTTGTATACTCCCAAGGCGTCAATCTCTATAAAAGATAAACAGATTTTATAATATAATTTTAAGACATCGTAGTATGGTTCCCAACCAGAATCTGACATTTGACCATGAAAGGGATTCATCACTGATTATAATTCTTAGGAACTGCGTTTGGTTGCAAGCATCAGAGATAGTGTCTGCCCCCATTGTCCTCCTCACTTTTTTTTTGAGATATAATTGCCGTGTACTAAAATGCACACATTCATTAGAAGTGTTGTTTGATGTGTTTTGATGACTGATTATACCAATGTAATCACAACCTAAAACATGATGTAGAACATTTCCATTACCTCAAAAAGTGCTCTTATGTCCCATGAGAGTCAGTTCTATTTCTCCAGAGGCAACACTTTTGGTTTCTATAATTTAGATTGGTTTTGCCTATTTGGGGTTTTTATAAATGGAATAATGTAGTATATACCTTCTTTCTGTGTTTGCCTTTTTTCACACGAAATAATGTTTTTGAAATTCATCTGTGATTTAGTGTTTATAGCAGTTTGTTCCTTTTGTTTTAAGTAAGAGTCCACTGTATGGCTCCACTACACTTTGTTTATTCATTCTTCCATTGATGGACATTCAAGTTGTTTCCCATTTTTTGGCTATCATTAAAAATGCTGTTATGATCTCTTGCATATAAATCTTTGTGTAGATATATGTTTTTATTTCTCATGGATAGATACCTAGAATTGTAATTGTTGAATTGTATAATAAGTATAGTTTTAATTTTTTAAGAAACTATCAAATTACTTTCCAAAATGGATATACCATTTTGTATTTCCATCAGCAATGAGTAAGAGTTTTAGTTATTCCAAACCCTTGTTAACATTTGGTATTGTCAGTCTTTTTAATTTGGGCTATTCTAATAGGTGTGTATCTCACTATAGCTTTAATTTTCATTTCCTTAATGACAAATAATGTTGAGCATCTTTTCATGTATTTATTTGTTATTCTTATATCTTATTTTATGAAGTGTCTTTTCAAATATTTTGCTCACTTTTACAAATTAGGTTATCTATCTTCTTAACATTATATTATATGAGGTTTTTTTAAAATATATATTCTGGAAAGTTCTTTGTCAAATATGTTTTGCAAATATTTTCACCCAGTCTGTGGATTTTATTTTTATTTTTCTAGCAATGTTTTTGGTCAAGCAAAAGTTTTTAGTTTTGATGAAGTTCAATTTATCAATTTTTAAATTTTATGGTTAGTATTTTTTTTTGTCCTAAGAAACGTTTGTCTACCCTAATGTCACAAAGATTCCCTCCATGTTTGCTTTTAGAATTTTTATCGTTGAAGCTCTTGTAGTTATGTCGATGATCTCAAGTTAGCTTTTGTATTTAGAATAAAGAATAAGATCTAAGTTCATCTTTTGTTTCTACGTGAATATCCAATTGTTCTAGCACTATTTGTTAAGCAAGATTTTCCTTTCCCCACTGAATTATCAAATATGTGTGAGTTCAATTCTGGATACATTATTCTGTTCCATTGATCCATTGAATATACCCATGTAACCACTAATGCCTTATAGTCTTGATCGTTGTAGCTTTATAACAAGTCTTAAAATCTGGAGTGCAAGTCCTCCAACTTTGTTGTCCTTTTGTTTTGGCTATCTTAGATCCTTTACATTTTTGTAGAAATTTTAGAATTGGCTTGTTAATTTCTTCAAAAAATATCCTGAGATTTTTATTAGAATAGCATCGAAACCAGACATCAATTTGAGGAGAATGAACATCCTTAAAATACTGCATATCTAATCATTGCCCATGACATATTTTTCCATTCATTTAGATCTTGTCTCATTTTGTTTTGTTTTGGCAATGTTTTATCATTTTCAGGGTAGAGATTCTACTCATCCTTTGTTTGATTTATTCCCATAGACTTTTTTAATGTTATCGTTAGTGGTATTTTTAAATTTTTTATTTTCTAATTGTTTATTGATAACATAGAAATGCAATTGATTTTTCATATTCTCTTTGTATCCTACAAGCTTGATAAATTTTCTCATTAGTTCTAGTCTGATTTTTTGTAGATTCCTTAGAATTTTCTAAGTGTATGATCATGCTCTCTGTGAATGATAGCTTCTGTGAATGACAATGAAAAACAATTGATATAGAATGATATCAGAGAAAACGATTAAAATTTTAAAACTTGGATGACTCAGCTAAGTAGGCAGCCTAGCATCCTGAACTAAGAATAACACCCTGTCCTTAATCAGGCCTCTAGAAAAGAAAAGCAGTCCGGCTTTTTATAGCTCTGACTGCATTTCATTCACGCATTCATTTATTTATTTCTTCATTCATTCAGCACAAAAACGTACTGAGCTCCAACTATGTAGCAAGCATTGTAGTAGGCATAGAGATCTCTGGAAGAAAAAGATCTGGCCCAGTCCTCACGGAGCTGAGATTCTTTGAGGAGCAAGCACACAGCATAGCACGGTGATTAAGAGTCTAGGCTTTGCAAGTCAGCACTGGATTAGGTCCTGATTCATCTGCTCACTCATAATGTCACCTTAGGTGAATCATTTTACCTCTCAAAGCTTCAGCTTGGAATAATAGTACTTATTACACAGAGTGGTTGTAAGGATTAGGTGAGATAATGAATGGAAGCATTTGCAACTGGGCATGGCCTTGAAGCTCTAAGTACTTGGTAGCTACTATCAACAATAGATTGAAGTTAGGGGGAGGCCAGGACACTCAGTGCACAAGGTACAGTGAATGGGGACCCAAAGGAGGATTATATATTTGATCTCTTGAGAGGTCAATATTTTTCTGTTTTCTAAAGGTGTTTCTTTTATTTGTATTAGCAAAATTACCATTAGTTAAACTTATAGTTCTTTTTTTGCTGCAACGTTGTATTTTTTCCTTTCCTATTACATCCTTAATTCTCTGTTTCTTCATCCAAATACCATCATCCACACACATGTACAGCAAGAACTCAAATACTAAACACAAAAGTCAATCCTTTAATCAATCCAAACCTGCTAATTATGGAATAAAAATGTTATTTAGTAGGAAGGCAATAATGAAAAGAGCATGGAGTTTTTCAGACCTGGGTCTAAATTATAACCTTACACAACAATTTACTCTCTTTGAACTTGGTTTCTTCACCTATAAATGAGGATAATAATATTTGCCTCTTAGGGCAATTGTGAGAATTGAATGAACTCAGAACATAACAAATATTCAAAACAAGTATTAATTTTCTTCCTCTTCTCAACATTTAGCATCTCTAGTTATTTTAATCTAGGAGTCCACAGACTTTTACATCTTAGAACTCTCTTATACTCTTAAAAATTAAGATCCAAAAGAACTTAGTTTATGTGGGTTATATCTATTAATATTTTCCATATTAGAAAGTAAAACTGAGAAAATTTAGAAATAATTAGTTATTGATTTATTTAATAATTATAACAAATGCACTGCATATTACTATAATAACACATCTTTATGAAAAATAACTATATTTTCCAAAGCAAAACTAAAATTAACAAGAAGAATGACACTGTTTTACACTTTTACAAATCTCTTACCATCTGGTTTATAAAAAGACAACCAGATTCTCATACCTGCTTCTGCATTTAATCTGTTATATTTTGTTTGGTTGAATTCTATGAAGAAAGTCAAACCTCACATACATAGTTAACAGCTTTTCCTAATGACTGTATAAATTCTTCTTTGATATTACATCAAACTAGATAAAAGGTAAAAGTTAGTTTCAATGTGGAATATGAAACAATATGAATAAACTTTTCATATTCTGTTACATTAAAAGCCATCGGTCTGTCTTGCACTTTGAATGACTTTTACCAATGTGTGTGATTTTACAATATAATGCTTGGCCATTTGGAAATTATCGCTTTACTGAGTGATGTATATCTTACAAATTTCATGGTACAATATTGAAAAATCACATTCATTAATATTGCCATCAATATCATCAGATAAGTCTTGATGTATTGGGAAGTTATTAATCTCATGAGTGACATGAAATTTTCCAAAATTCTAGTTTTCTAGTTACCTCGAATTTTATCACTGGCAACAAATATTGATATTTGTTTTTCTTGAAGTAATGAGCTCACTTTCTTTGTTTTTAAGAGCATATCTACCAAATACCTAAGTTGGAATAATAGTTTGGCTGTCAGCATTCTTTCAGGTAAAAATGGTATCCCATAAAAAAAATTGAAAAAAGTCTAGCTAAGCTCAAACAATCA